GTGAAGAACACAGCGTGGTTGTGAATCAGAATGCATGGGGGCCATGTCATTTGCATCAGCACTGTTTTGTAGGTCATCCAACCTTAGCTGCTTGCAAACCAAGACAAATTGTTTATAATTATTCAAAGATTTGAATGACCTTTAAGGACCCTCCTGTCCCCTCCCCCTAGGCTTCTGCTAGATTTAATTTGCGCAATTTTAGCTCTATGGACACTATGCATTACCAATCTTTTAATTTGCTCCCAAATTGTTGACTTATATGGTTTTCCTTTCCACACAATAATCATACTCTCACCTTTTTCTTTTTAAAAGGGAGACATTTTCTATTCTGTTGTCAAATGTCCTATTAACAGCAGCCGCTTACAAGAACACACATGAACAAAGATGGGAAAAGGAACATCAAGAATCTAGTTTAGATTCATATGTTGTTCCCAACCATTTTTAATCTTCAAAGCAACAAAATTGGAACTAAAAAACTTAAACTTTGAATTACTTTTTTTTTTTTACTATTTTAGTAACTGTGAATTGAAGAAGATAGATGACAAAATGTGGTGAAAACATTTTACTTGCAGTTTGTTAATCTATTATTAATATTATATGTTTAACATTAGTATTTATGTCAAAACCCTTTTTCCTATAATATTAATCAAATAAAACTTATAGACAAAATATGATTAAAGTGATCGATCGACTATGTGTGTAACTTCGTTCGTGGTCATAGAAAGTAAATTAAACATAGTTATAGTCATTAAAGTTGCTAATGGGTCACTTTGTATAGAATGACAGATTTTTACCAATAATCTTTAATTTAATCATACACACACATATAGAGAGAGGGTAATGATCCTGTCCAGCCGGAGGGACATGACCCGCCGTCCGGCCGTCTCCATTTAGGGCCTTTCCCGGTGGAATGTTTTGCTGAAAGTTTTTGAGCATGTTCTTCATGAAGTCTAGTTTATCCATACCAAATTTCAGCTCAAAGTTCAATCGGGAAGGCAGTCAAATGATTTTTGGAATTTAACTGCGCAGTTTATATACATATAAAACGCAGTTATCTTCCAAAAATCATTTGAGTGTCTTCCCTGTTGAATTTTTAGCTGAAATTTGGTATGGATAAACTAGACTTGATGAGGAACATGCTCAAAACATTCCATCAAAAAATTACACCAGGAAGGGCCTCTGATGGCCTTGGCCGGACGGCGCCTCCCGTCCCTCTGAATGGACCTGATCTTTTCTATATATATAGGGAGTGTGGATCAAATAAAAAGTCCTTGCTAGGTGAAAAATAAGAACTAATATTGGCCATTAATATGAAAAATGGATGAAAGAGATCAAATTTGAAGTGAAAAACGCGGTGAAATTTTGGTAATTACGAAGAACTTTAAATAAAAAAAATTATACGAAAAGTGTACCAAAATATGTAAAAAGTGTACATGCAGAGTACAAAAGTGCATAACAGTACATCATAAAATGTGCACAAATTTTTAAAAAATGGCAATCTTTTTTAACTCTTAAAAGTGCACTTTTATTCATTTAATATCCACTTTGTACTATAAACGTTTGCACATTATTTGAGTCTGTATCTTGTGATTAAAGTTCATCTAGCCCATCCATTTATAAGTGATTAAAGGCTAAGATTTGTTCTCACTTTTCATGGGAAGACTACTTTTTGCATGACGAAGGTCGCTGGCCAGAGATTATCAATGCGGTGCTCTATTCGAGGGGCTTATTTCGGTCTTTAAGTTGGAGAATGCATATGATGTGATGATGTTTTCGATACTGATGGTCCCGGATAGAGGTAAAAGTCTAGAGGGGGGGGGGGGGTGAATAGACTTTTAAAGCTTTTTAAATTTTGAAACACTTTTCCCTCTAGATAAGTTGATCTATAATCTTTTGGGAGATTAATAGATGCACAGCGGAAGTCTCTAACCTCTAGATATTTATTGCAAGAAAACTTTCTATTATTGATGATGTTTGGACTGGCAGTAGGCTTGGCAGTTGGCTGGTGGGCAGATTACTGCTGAGGCAACTGCTGAGTTGGCAGTTGGCTGGTAGGCAGGTTACTGCTGAGGCAACTGCTAAGAACAGGATGACTCTTGGATGGCTTTTTGTTCTGGCTTGTTATGGAGTTTGGAACGACACGTATGGATGGGCAGTGGGCTCAGCAGGAGGGTGAAGACCAGGGTATTGCTGAGGCACCTTCTGAGTTTAAGACAACTTCTAGTGGAAAACACTCTCAAGGAGAGTGAGTTATTAAGTAGTAGGCTAAGCAGTAGAGACGATGAAGACTACTGCTTAGGCTGCTGCTGACAAACTACAAACCTTTAGTGAGATGTGTTTGGTGTGTGTTCTGTATGTATGAAAGTAAATCAACACACCATATATCCTGGTTCAGAGGTGGTGTAATCCTCCTACATCCAGTCCCATTCTATTTCAAATGGATTTCCACTAAAGTATTCAGCCCAATACAATTAGTGCCAATCTAGCCTTGACAACTCTGGCCTAGATTGAAGGCGTTTCACGAGGAGAGTATAACACCACTCCAAGTTACTCAAACCTTAAGACTTTTCTCAATTGATCCAGTGGAGATCAAAAGGTACTCTATCTATCTAACCACACTATAGGATCCGAACAACTGTTCTCCTAAGTGTTTACAACAACATGAATTGATTCACGAAGTTTCTGACCGCCAACTAAAATCTAAGCTCTATAAATATTACAATGAATGATCTAGTCTAAGAGCTTAGTGAAGCATGAGTCAAAGCAGAGTGTTCAAGCACTTTTTCTTTTGCTGGATATGCGTAGTGTAATGACTGAACCACTTGCTTTGAACTCAATGACTTACTTTTGATCTCATGCTTCTGCCTATTTTTATAGGCATCTCCAGTAGATTAATCTCCTCCGTTGGTTAAGAGGATTTAATCCTAGACGTCCAAAGTATTGTACTTGCGTCTTCTTGTGTTGGAGCAGGATAAGGATTTGTCTTTGAAGGCCACTTGCTTTGTACGAAGATAACACCCATACCTTAGGCCTTCTTATCGCTGCATGCCTATTCTGAAACTCTTCACTATTCACCTATTCTGATGTCTTCTCTGCTCTTGCATTCTGAGTGTATTGGCCTTGTCTTGCAACTATACTTGTGAAGCTGAGTGCGTGAACCTGCTTAATTTGTGTAGTGAAGTAGTAAAATGTGTTACTTAGAATATTTTGTACCAAATAAAATTTGTACTGGTAGGATCTTTTAAATATCCTATTAAGGTAAAATTACCTTATTGCATTTTGTTCTTTCCAGTACAATTTATTTGGTACAAATTTTACAATAAAATTTGTCACTTATTTTACTAATCACTTTCTTTCTTAAGTGACATGATTAAACTTATGTACCATAAAAAACTATACTGGTTGGATTAAATATCCATGTAAGGAAAAAAAGAATTTACCTTATTGCATTTTATAATTCCAGTATGCTTAATTTGGTACATAGTTTGTACATTGGAGTTCTTGTCATTTTTAAGCACTAATGCACGAATTAACTTAGACACAAAATACTAGTGCAAAGTATAGTGGCATCATCAAAATCATCATAGTTGGGTCCTAACAGATACCTTGTGAAAATTTTGAATTGATGCTTCTTCGACTGGAAGAGGTGCTGAGTCTCCCGCTCTTCCAGTCTCCCACTCCTTAAAGCGAATGTTGTGAGGTGAAGAGGAGTAGAGTAGTGTGTGTGCGTCTCGTGATGACTCTAATAGGGGATCGAAGGGCGACACTTTTGTCCACAATGGGGATATGTCTCGTTAAAAATCTCATTAGGAAAGACCCTACGCGAAAAAATCTTAATGAGAAAAAAAGTACACCGGATGGCCACAAAATGAAGCAAAATGGTGAGCCCTGCAGCCGAGGCATGCAGCTGCAAAGGACACCATCTATTGATGGAGTAGCTGAGACCGGTCTTCGTATGTGAGTAGCGTGACATGATAAGTAGTCCATAATGTCGAGACGAGGCACTGGGGAGCTTGTCACAAGATGGAGGCGAGGCGTCCAGAAGCCCGTCATAATGTGCGAATGAGTGGATGAGGAGCCCGTAAATAAATAATCACGATGAGGCTGAGGGGCCAGCCGTGGTATGGGGACTTCAATTTGACGCTGATGAGCCGATCCAAAATATGATGATGAGGCGATGAGAAATCGTTCATCATATAAAGGCGACGAACACCATCCGGGAAGGGAATGGCGAGCCCAATCACTAGCTCAAGACATTCGGCACTAAGGTGCTGGTCTTGAGATGGATGATCATGTTGAGGTCAAGGGGCCAGCCGTGATCTGAGGAATGCGATGTTGAAAAGTCAATCCAAAATATGATGACGGGGCACTAATGAGCCGATCATCATATGAAGGGCGACGGTCACCATCCGATAAGGGATGGCAAGTCCAATCGCTAGGTCACCATATAAGGCACTGATGAGACGATCGTCATATTCCTGTTGTACAAAAAAAAGTGTGTTATATACTTATATTTAGAGAGCCATGTTCTTCTTTTGAAAAACTCAATTTAAATTTTAAGTCATCACACATCAATCACATACAAAAATACAAACTCAGTACATGTATCATATCAAACATAGAGTACGTTTGATAATACTAAAATTGGCTAATTTTTTTGAAATTTATAAAGTTTTGAGTGAAGTGAGTGGCTGATTTTAATGATTTATGAGAAAATCATATCCACATTAAAATTTATTAATAAAATAAAGAAAAACTTATACGAAAAATAGTTAAAATGATCTTCTACAATAACTTCAACTAACACAACCTGAAAAGTAACCATCTCACTTACTTATTTTGATTATTACACAATTCAGCGCGCGAAATCAAAAGTTATATGATTGGTGAAAAAGTTTACTGATAAGCTAAAAATAGTTTCCAAACGAGCTCTAAATGTCAATATTTTACTGTTATAATAGTAAAACTCATTATGTTGAAAGGAACATCATCCAGATTCATCACGTAACCCCGCATTGATCAAATATAAAGCTAAAATTCAAATATGCAGTATAAAATTTTGGACCACTCATGCTGTCTTTTAGATCCTCCGGTTACCTCTCTTCCAAAATCCCCCAATCAATTAGTTAGCCCTTAAAGATACCTGAAGTCTTAATAATTCTATAAATAAATGTTCTATTCTTCACATTTTTACAAGAGATGAAAACTAAGACAGCGGATGGAGTTAATTTGGGATTATTCATACTACATACATAACATTAAGGATCACACACAACATTGTATAACCCTATCCTCAATAATACAATAATGAGAGAGCAGCATAGAGAACATTAGATAATAATGCATTGATGTATGACCCTTTGAGGCTCCACGTTTCTTGGCCATTGTGAGTCTAGTGCTTCAATGGTGGGGTAATAGCATACAGATATGATGTCTTATAATACAGATCTCCTATTCTTTGGCCAGCCACTTCAGTGATGGACACTGCATCTGAGATCTCTTTCACTTCTTCAGCAGTAAGCTTCACCTTCACCGAACCAATGTTATCATGAAGGTTTTTCAACTTAGTTGTTCCTGCACTCAGACAATACAGTGACATAGTTTTTACATTGTGCAAAGCTAATAGTTTACAACGCTTGATGTAAGTACAGAAGATGTGACCATCATAAAACGCTCTTAAATTTTGAATTTGGCTATTTAGAATCTAATCGTTCCTTAAAAAAAGGATCTAATCGTCTTTAACTAGACTTATTAACTGATTGGATTGAAGTCACTCAATTGAGTTATCATGCACACAAGTCAAAACACAAAAACACAACTCAATTGAATCGATTAGCCAATTCAACTCGACCTTTTTTATAAAGGAAAGTCGTCTTGTATAGGAGCAATATGTCATTTTTTTAAATATAGAGAGTGCTTCGATATTTTTTCCCCTTTTGAGGAGAATATTACTCCTAAAGAAGTTAAATTTTGTGGACACTAATGCTTTTCGGAAGGGTATAGTCAGGGTAAAATGGCTGTACTCTAACCCAACAATGATTTTATAGTTAGCATAAAATTATTACTAATATACATACCGGGAGCATATACCCGAGCTCTAGAAATCAGCAATTCGTTACATGAAATTATATGGTCGATTTACATGTATTTACTCCTAAAAAGGTTAATTAAATGTGGTCCTATTTTTTATATACAAGCTCATTCTCCTATCCTATAACACTCTCCCTTTTATAAACTCATCTTTAACCATTTTTACTTCGACGTGAAACTCTAGAACATACTACGAAAGTTCTGCATTTGTTTGGTGGCAATGAACTACCAACAACCATTTTGTGTCAAATCATATATATCTGCCAAATAGGAAATTTCTTCATGCTTTGACTTTCTGTGAAAATGTTATATAGAGAGGGAGGGAAGCCTACCAGGAATGGGAACAAAGTCATCACCCTGATGGAGAATCCATGCAAGAGCAAGTTGAGCAGGCGAGCAGCCATGTTTCTTTGCCAATTCTTCTAGACGAAAATATATGCCTTTGTTCTTTTCTAAATTCTGTGCAGTAAACCTGGGATGTTTGTCCTGATAGATTGGGCCATGTTTGGTTCATCATACAAAATTATACACTTCTAATTATTTTTAAAGTATATAAATGTGTTTAAACATACCAAGGTACTGTTAGCAGGCAAGCTCTCCACAACTGCCTTTCCACCAAACAATCCACGACCAACAGGGCAGAATGAAACAATCCCAATTCCCAGTTCCCTGTTAATTTATATAAAGGAGCTTACAAATTAAGAAATTAGACTCCATCAATGTTTTCATGTGTTTGCTCTATAACACAGGTACTTGATAGTACACTGGATAGTACACTGGATAGTTCAGAACAATTAATGGAGTAAATTCAATCAACAAATATCAAGAATTGAGAGAATTAGGGTTTATTGATATCTGGAATGAACAAGAACTGAATACAGAGTAAAGGGGGGACAGTTCAAGATGCCCAGTCTCCAACAGATCAGCCAACAAGTCTAACAGTCTGTCCAAAAATAGCCAACTCCTTCTATTTATAGACTCTTATCCATGCAGGGATAATAGAACTGACTTAACAGACTCTTAACTACCCAACCTCCTATTTCTTCTTGTGTATACTTTGTCAAAATAATGAGCTGGCAGCTGCGTGTCTATCATTACTCCCCCTGAAATATCATCTTGTCCTCAAGGTGAAGTTCTGGGAAGTATTTCCTCATCTCCTGCACAATATTCCAAGAGTTTTCAAAGTCTGGTAGTTCCTTCCACTTTATCAGGACATCCTGTTGCCCTTCTTTGTTTAGTCTGGCCTCCAACACCTTCTCAGGTGTTACTTGTAATTCCAAATTCTCCTTTACGCATTTGGGTAAGGGCTGAAAGAAGGTGGTTGGAGATATCAACTTCTTTAATAAGGAAACATGGAAAACAGGATGTATCCTACTTTCCTTAAGTAGTTTTAGATTGAATGCCACTTCACCTATCTTCTCCACTATTTCAAAAGGGCCATAGAATCTGGGGCTCAGTTTTTTATTAAGCCTTTTAGCCAAACTCTTTAGCTTATAAGGCTGAATTTTCAAATACACCGAATCACCAACCTCAATCTGTACTTCTCTTCTGTGCTTGTGTCTCATTTGATTATGTGCTTTGGCAAGATTCTCCTTTAACTCATCTAGCATACAATTTCTCTGTGCAGTCAGTCTGGATACCTCCTCCACAGTAGTTAGACTGACATCACCTCTAATTACTGCAGGAGGTTCTTGTCTAAATAGGGCCTGATAAGGTGTTTGTTTTAAAGAAGCATGGAAATTTGTGTTGTACCAAAACTCAGCCCAATGCAACCATTGGCTCCACTGTCTTGGTTTGCTACCAGTCAAACACCTTAAGTATGTCTCTAAGCATCTGTTGACCACCTCTGACTGGCCCTCAGTATGAGGATGATAAGTTGTACTATATTTAAGTTGAGTGCCTGCCAACTTAAATATTTCAGACCAAAATGAGCTCATAAAGATGTTGTCTATATCACTGACTATGGTTTTAGGAAACCCATGAGTTTTAACCACCTCCTTGGTAAAACTTCTGCCATTTCTTTAGCATTGAAAGGATGTGAGAGTGCTATGAAGTGAGCATATTTAGTCAGTCTGTCAACCACTACTAAAATAGTGTCTTTCCCCTCAGATTTAGGTAATCCACCTATAAAATTCATAGTAATATATGTCCAAAAGTTATTAGGAATTGACGGGGGTTGTAGTAATCCAGAAGGTTTCAAAGCCTGATACATCCATCCACATACTTCTGTATATCTTTCCTCATCCCTTGCCAATAAAACAGATTAGAAATCCTTTTCATGGTTCTGAAATAACCTGAGTGGCCCCCCATGGCTGTGGTGTGATACTCCAGCAAAATCTTGGGAATTCTGGTAGAGGAACTAGGTAATACTAGTCTGCCCTTGTAATATATAGTAAACCCTTGGAGATCTTATAATCCCTGTACTGATGTACTGATCTGGCTGAGATATGATCTTCTGAATAAGACTTTGGCATTTAGGATCTGCTTTCAATTCTTCTTCGCCTTCCCACTCTTGACAAGTAACAATGGATAAGGCTTTTAGATAAGGTATCCTGGATAAGGAATCAGCTGCTTTATTTTCTTTTCCAGGCTTGTACCTGATAGTAAAGTTATACCCCAATAACTTTGATGTCCATCTTTGTTGCTAATCCCCCATCAATCTTTGTTCTGTTAGAAACTTCACTCTTTTGGTCTATGTATTTCAAAAGCTCTTCCCAGAAGGTATGGCCTCCACTTTTGAACTGTCAAAACCACGGCCATTAACTCTCTTTCATAAACAGATTTCTGTTGATTCCTTTTTGATAATTCCTTACTCATATATGCAATTGGTCTTCCTTCTTGGAGGCCTGATGCATTGTTAGGAACCTAGTATAATCTGAGCGTAAACAGTAAACCAGCAAACACAGATCTGATAGAATGATAAGGAAAGAGTGTTTATTGATGGAAGGAGATAAACCGTAGGCTACAGGGACTTCTTAGGAAACCGGGACTTAGGCAACAAGGCAACCCATAATCAAAATAACAGTCTACCTATTATTAGCTACCCAACTTACTATTTATAGTAGTAGGTCCACGCAGGGACTAAAATAGATAAACAGACTCATTAAATGACCCCAGCCCACTTAATTGACCTCAGCCCATTTTATTTCTTCTTTCAAATACCCTATTAAAATACTCAATAGGCAGATTCCTAACATTACTCCCCCCCTAATTAACCACCTTGCCCTCAAGGTGGGTAATAAGACACGGCCTTGATCTTGAACTTCCTCTTCATCCTGGAACCTCTTCCTTCCCAGTACCTCCTTGGTTTCTGATCTAGGAGCTTCATTTCTTTCACTTTCATTATCACGTCTTTCACAGCAAACAGAAGCAGAAACTGGGTATAAAAATTCCCTAGAATTACCCTTGAAGCCTCTTCCTTGTAACCCCTCTCTTCATATAAAGGTTCTAAGGCAGACATGCTATGAGTTGCAGCTCTAAATGGATCAAAGAACAAACCAGTTTGAACCCTTACAAGAACACACATACCAACTTCAACTGGTTGAACAATTCTCCTCTTTCCCAGTTCGGCTTGAAACATTACTGCTGCTTTATAGTACATTTGTACCACCTCTATCAATTTCTGAGAAATGAGATTAAGAGTGGCCCCAGAATTCGTTAATATCAGAATGTGTTTGCCTCCCTTGTTCATCTGTATCTCTCCTTGATTGATACTCACAGTATCATAAGTCACATAAGAAACATTAAAATTTGTCAAATGCACCACATTTTGCGCCTCCAGGATATGTTCATTCTCTTTAAACCTATTCATCCACTTGCTCAGGCCCTGTGCCACTCCACACCTCTCAATGTTGCTGCCATCAGATTTCATAGTATCTAACGGCCAAGACACTGAGTTTGGGAACTTCCCTTCTCTCATGCCCCTTATAAGAGAGCCCATAGCTTTTGCAGTAACAGAATGAGCTTCAGGGACCTGGTCCTGATGAATTTCAGGCAGAATAAGCATGAACGTATTTGTTTCCCGCTTCATAAAAGTGATACCCGCACCAAAATCCTTTATTATATGAACTTTTGCTTCTATTTTGCTACCAAGAACAAACTCATCAGTCCATCTCAGTCCAAAATCAAAGGAGTTGATAAAATTCAAAAAGTACCAAATTGCCCTCTTCAATATCAAGAACCAGAAGTTGATAAAATTCAAAACCAGGTTCCAAGTTTCTCTTCCCCAGCTTTTCTACAATGTCCCTTACTAACATCCCCAGCTTGGCCTCAGATTTAGTGAACACTGATTCTTCAATTGCCATATTCTGTGGAACATCCTGCAACAACTTCCTTTCCAAGGCACTCCAGACTAAAACAACACCTGCACTCACACAACCTTGGTCCTGATCTTCAATATAAGCAGCACTATTCCCTCTCCAGTTGCTATTAGCAAGTCTGTGAGCACTGTCACTCTTTTTTTCCTCCCTAACTCTTTTATGGAGTACCTGGATCCCTTTACCAGTTCCCTCTTGAACAAGTAGACAATCTGCATGCAGCCCCCTAACCTCTTCCCCAGAGGTAATGGCATATGGGAAGAGACTAAGATTGAGATCTTTGACAAGCATCCAATTTACGTCAGCCTCAACTTCAGTAACATTGCCAACATACTCCTTAAAATTCATAGTAATCCCTCCCTTCAAACTATTTTGATTATACATCATCGAAGTAAAGCCATCAATTCTGAAGCTATCGAAATTGTTCAGCGTTTTCCCAGTAAGATGTGATGAAGGGCAGTACATCATATCCATTAAAACCTCCAATCCAGGTCTCTGAGCTATATGAATCAAGGATTTAAGATCTTCCAGGTTTAAGTCCAGTGTCCTAGAGTAACTCATATCATCAGAGGTAATGATATCTGATTTACGCTCTTTGGAGCCTTCCCTATTGTCTGATGAAAATCCTGTAGATTGATTAACATCCTCTTCAGGATCTGATTCTGTAACTGATGCTGCCACCAGTTTCAGTTCTATGTTCATTGTCATTGGTGTAGTCCCCTGTGATTCCTTCCTTGATGAGACCAACTCGAATGTTCTGGAAGCTGATGAATCTGGCGCAAGGTGAGAAACTCCAATCGACGGAGAGCTGTGAGATCCTGCTAGTGAGGATACCTGCGAATAGTGGTACTCACCTAAAGACGATGCATGCAAACCGGAAGGGACAGTTCGCGTCTGCGAAGGAACCTGCAAACTCAGAGAAACTGCTTGCAACGAAGCTGAGGAATTAGGTGAGATTGCTTGCGAAGACCCCTGCGAACTTGAAGGATATGATAGTCTCGAACTCTGCGATTTCGAACTGAGAGAGGAAGCTCGAGTAGAGGATTGCGAACTGAGAGAAATCCTTGGCGATCGCATATATTGATTCCCTGCGACTGCTTGTAGGCTGGAAATGCCTAGTTATGGATTCCCTCAGAGCCTTCCAACTATCTTCCCTCGTCTGAAATTGCCACCATTGAAACCATTCAAATGCCTCTTCCTCCATAGTTTCTTCTGCTATTTCAACTTTCCTTTCCTCCGCAGTAGCTTTGATTCGGAAGTATTCTTCCATCTTAACTATCCATTTGTCTACTTTATCTCCGTTAAACAACGGTAATTCAACCTTACTTCCAGTACGAATATCTCTTCTACCGCTATCCCGACCCATACTAGAGCGAGAATGATGATAATTACCTTCTGACACAGCTAGACGCTCAGAATCCTTTGTTTCCTTTGTTCGTTGATGTTGAGAGTTGGCTCGTTGTGAAGCTGATTGCAAGGGAGATGAAGATCTGCGACAAGAAACAGTTCGCAATGAATTGGGAGATGACGCTGTTGGTGACGGGGAACTGTGCGAAACTAGAGATGAAGTCTGCGAACGGGAAGATGAAGTTCGCGATTGTGAACTGGAATGATATGTGAGCTTCGATCTCTGCGACTGCGATCTGGGGGAACTGGATTGCGATGTCGATCGGAGGTGAGAGGAAACCTGCGCATTTGGCGATAAACTAGGGTACGCAAAAGGCCGGTTTTGAGATTCGCGATCTCTGCGAATGTCTTCCTTCATCGCTGTTATAGATGCTGTGAACTCTGCCATAGATGCTACAAGGGTGCTCTGAATCTGCTCGTTCATCGCTGTCATAGAAGCCGCGAGGTTTGCCTTCGCCGTCTTCAACTCCAGCCCCAACGTATCTCTGCGATTTTCCATTTTCTCTCTCCTTCTGACCTTCCTTCTCTGAAACAAGCTCTGTAGTAGCCGCACTTCACTTGCGATCCCCAGGAGCTAATTGCTCTGATACCAATGTTAGGAACCTGGTATAATCTGAGCGTAAACAGTAAACCAGCAAACACAGATCTGATAGAATGATAAGGAAAGAGTGTTTATTGATGGAAGGAGATAAACCGTAGGCTACAGGGACTTCTTAGGCAACCGGGACTTAGGCAACCCATAATCAAAATAACAGTCTACCTATTATTAGCTACCCAACTTACTATTTATAGTAGTAGGTCCACGCAGGGACTAAAATAGATAAACAGACTCATTAAATGACCACAGCCCACTTAATTGACCTCAGCCCATTTTATTTCTTCTTTCAAATACCCTATTAAAATACTCAATAGGCAGATTCCTAACATGCATCAGTCTCTAGAATGAACACTTTATCGATGAAATTGTTTGAGCATGTTCGTCATCAAGTCTGGTACATCCATACCAAATTTCAGCAAAAAATTCAATCGGGAAGGCAGCCAAACGATTTTTGGAAGATAACTGCGTTTTATATGTATATAAAGGGTGCAGTTATCTTCCAAAAATCATTTGACTGCCTTCCCGATTGAATTTTTTGCTGAAATTTGGTATGATGTACTAGACTTGATGAAGAACATGCTCAAAAAATTTCATCGAAAAATTCCACCGGGAAGGCCTTCAAAACGTGGAGGCCGCATGGAGGCTCCGGTAAGGTATACCTTACCGGAAGAGTTCCCTATATATATATATATATATATATATATATATATATATATATATATATACACTTGAAATTTGGTATGGATGAACTATACTTGATGAGGAACATACACAAACAATTTGACCAAAAAATACCACCGGGAAGGCCCCAAAAAGGAGAAGGCCGGATGGCGCTCCGGTCAGGAAAATTCCTGACCGGAGCGCCATCCGGCCTTCTCCTTTTTGGGGCCTTCCCGGTGGTATTTTTTGGTCAAATTGTTTGTGTATGTTCCTCATCAAGTATAGTTCATCCATACCAAATTTCAGCAAAAAATTCAATCGGGAAGGTCATTAGACAATCTCCAACAATCACCAAATGCTTCACCAAAATGGGGGATTTGCCATTTTTTTGCTCCAACAGTTACACCAAATTTATCACCATTTCACTAAAATGGGGGAGAGAGGTATTGTTTACGCCATATATGGCGCAAGGGAAGCATGCGCCAGCCGCCATCTTCTTCTTTTTATTTTTTGTTTTTCAAAATTGACCCAAACTCCAAAATGTTGAACTTCTATAATTTTGACCATTTTGTTTGGCTCGCTTTAAAAACCCTCGGTTGTGTAGTATAAGTATATAAATGATCGACCAACATATTTTTACTTCATAATTTAATCATTAGGTTTATAAACCTGGTCAGAACAACAAATTTAATTTATAAATTTGATATAAAAAATATAATAAAATTTAAATCACCCAATATTAGTGAAATGCCAAAATACATATTATGTGAGGGGCTAATGAATAAATATATGATAACTATATAATTAAATATAATAATGGTAAAAAGTTAGTAAAAAGAATAAAAAAAGAATATTCCTTTTTAGTGATAAAAATGGTGCAAACTGTTGGAGATAAAGTACTATATGATGTGATGTTTACACCATTTCAGTGCAAAAAATGATGTAAACTGTTGGAGATGGCCTCAAATGATTTTTGCAAGTTAACTGGTCCGGAAAATACATATTCCGGACCAGTTAACTTGCCAAAATCATTTGACGACCTTCCCAATTGAATTTTTTTGCTGAAATTTGGTATGGATGAACTAGAGTTGATGAGAAACATACACAAAAAATTTGAGCAAAAAATAACAACGGGAAGGCCCCCAAACGGAGGAGGCCGGACGGGGGTTCCTGTCCGGAAATTCCGGACAGGAATATTCCTGTATATATATATATACAGGAATATTCTTGTATATATATATATATAGGGAAAAGATCAGGTGAGAAGTGCCCCTTAAAATGAGAAGTGAGAAGTAATCTCAGCCCTTGGATTTGCATATGATCTTACAACGCAGTAAACTTATAGACTAAATATAGGAACTTATAACCAATAAATCATAACTTATAAACCTCTCCATAATAATTACGAAATTGCCACCGCGTCAAAAATTTTTCCAGGTTTCTGTAATTATTTTTTTGCGGTGGCATTTTCGTAATTATTTTCGAGGGGTCTATAAGTTATGGTTTATTGGTTCAAAGTTCCTATATATATATATATATAGAGGAAACTTCATGTCAGGCCGGCCTGACGGGCTGCCCCGTCCGGCCGAGCCCGTTTCGGCACCTTCCCGGTGGAATTTTTTGATGAAATTTTTTGAGCATGTTCCTCATCAAGTCTAGTTTGTCCATACCAAATTTCAGCTCAAAATTCGATCGGGAAGGTCGTCAAATGATTTTTTCAAGTTAACTGGTCCGGAATATGTATTTTCCGGACCAGTTAACTTGCAAAAATCATTTGACTACCTTCCCGATCGAATTTTGAGCTGAAATTTGGTATGAACAAACTAGACTTGATGAGGAACATGCTCAAAAAATTTCATCAAAAAATTCCACCGGGAAGGTGCCGAAACGGGCTCGGCCGGACGGGGCAGCCCGTCAGGCCGGCCTGATGAGAAGAGCCCTCTATATATATATATATATATATATATGGATTTTTCACCGAAATACCTGTTGCACTAGACAAGTGTAATATGAATTTTTCAAAAGTATTTACAAAAATGCCACCGTGCTAGATTGTATATTTCAATGCATCATGAAGTGTCTTTTACTACAACTTAATCGAATCTAATGGTTGAGATTCATTGTCACTTCTCACCTAAAAGGTTCTTCTCACTTGAACCTTACCCTATATATATATATGTATATCTATATCTATATATATATAGAGAGAGGGAGGATTGCTCAGGTCCAGCCTGAGGGACGGGAGCAGCCGTCCGAACTTCACTGTTTGGGGCAGTTCCCGGTGGAATTTTTCGATGAAATTTTTTGAGCATGTTCCTCCTCAAGGCTAGTTTGTCCATATCAAATTTCAGCTTAAAATTTGACCGGAAAGGCAGTCAAATAAATTCTTGAAACTTACTGCACTTTATATATGCGCAGAATGAGCAGTAAGCTTCAAGAATTTATTTGACTGCCTTTCCGGTCGAATTTTGAGCTGAAATTTGGTATGGACAAACTAGACTTGATGAGGAACATGCTCAAAAAATTTCATCGAAAAATTCCATCGGGAACCGCCCCAAACAGTGAAGTTCGGACGGCTACTCCCGTCCCTCCAGAGGGACATGAGCATTTCTGTATATATATATATATATATATATATATATATATATATATATTCAAACAATGCCTGTGATTAATATGCATCATGAAAACATACAAAATAAATATATAATACTCATATATTCATGTAAAACAAGAATGTAAAACATTAAAAAATACAAATACTTTGTATTAGAAAAATAAGAACGTAAAACAAAAAATATAGAAACATAAATCCTGTGATTTAAGCAATGCCTTGGTCTCTGGTGATAAAAAAGGCAAAAAACTAATAAAGCGCCATATTTCAATTGAAACACTATTTATTATTGAAGATTTTTTAATGCAAAATAAAGGAAGTAAAAAAAATCAAAAACAAAGGAAGCTGAAAGTGCAACAGGAAGAAGCTAAAACAAAAACCACACATGATGATGATCATGATGATGATGATGATTCTGACGACGACGGCGCCGGCGGCGCCGGCGACGATGACGATAATAATAATACTAATACTAATAATAATAATAATAATAATATACCAGTCCTAGGAATCAAACCCACGATTAAATGACATACACAGCAACGTGTTGCCATCTGCTCCAACCGAACGGATGTGACTTTCAGGTATCAAATGGTATATAGTGCATATTTCTCAAGCGGGCTGTCAATATATGCATACATGTGTATTCTATATACACTACAACCACTGGAGAACGGGGGAGGAGGCACCGGCTCACCCCCTAGTTCTGTCGTTGCATGGGATGGAATCCATGTTTTAATAAGTCAAGCTTCAGATAAGTGATGAAAAGCGTTAGAAACATTTATTCCAACCAGATAAGTGAGTTAGAAGTTACATACATAGTATTTATTTTGCTCATAAGTCAACAAGTCATAAGCAGAATAAGCCAGAAAGAACTGTCTACCAAACAGAGCATAGAGTTCGCTTTCTCAATCAGTTACTAACCTGCAAAGAGGTACGATTTCATCCTCAATGTCACGTGTCCATAAGGAGTACTCGTGTTGGAGAGCAGTGATGGGATGAATAGCGTGTGCCCTCCTTATTGTCTCTGGGTGAGCTTCGGATAGGCCAACATACTTTATTTTACCTTCTTCAACTAATTTCTTCAGTTCTCCCATCTGAAGAAAAACAAAAGCAGATATGGCATACAATTAGGACTCAAGTTATAACATGAGGATAATTTATTTAAAGAGAAAATTGCTTTTGGTAGGACCAAAACTTAGAATTCTTCCAAAAATAGGACCTTATGTTTGGTTTTACATGTGACTAATCATTCCATTTCGACCTGTAATTTATTTATTTAATTAATTATCCTAATTAATTGACCCCCTAGTTCTCTTGCATAACCAAATCAGTCCGTTGGGCACAGGACCAATCTGTGGTGGTGGCGGCAAACTCCGGCGGCAGCACAAATCTCCGGCGGCGGCAGACGGCGGCGGATTTCTGACAGATCGCGGGAACCGTTTTGGAAGAGAAAAAATCTGGTCGCCGGCAGTCTGGTGGCAGGCGGCGGTCTGGCAACCTGGGCAGCTTGGGGGGCAGCTGCTCCAGCCCTATAAGGGTATTTTTGACCAATCACAAAAGAAAACCCTATTTATGGATGTTTAAACTACTTGGTCCTGTTTTTGGAAAATGGACGAGTTCTAATCATATTTGATGACTTCTCCCTAATTTAAATAACACTCATACGTGATCTAAGATCAAATTAATCTGGCATATCCCTAAGGACCAAAGACTTCAATTCAAAGATCCTCCAAATTCAAGATTTCGTGCATGTTTTGTAGACATAAGTTCCTATCTTCTAGCTTTTGTACTATTTAAAATATCTAAAAGCTTCTAATTGTATATTTGACACAACAATTTTAACCAGCTTTTTCAAATAATAGTAGTAATAGATCATTTTTTAGAAGTTACACTAGCCTGTAGCTTTTAACATTAATTAGTATGTAGCTTTTATGTAAATCATGATACATTTGAAACTCCCACCTCTCATATAATATGTCTCAAATCTCTTTCTATGCACCCAAGTCCCCGTCCAAATTTTTGGCTATCTCTTCTTTTGCACGATCCATGAAGCTATATAAAAATCTCATATCAAACATCATCTCTGAGTTTCCCATCCTCAACAAAGTAAACATTGGCTTTGTTGTGTTGATTGCATTAGCCATGTTTGGCTAAAATAATTTATAGCACTATCTGTTTCACCTAAAAGTAATTGATATAAAAGCAGAGGCATTCTATAAAAAGTCATGGAGCCCAAAATTGTGACTATTACTATTGCAGAATTTATAGTCAGCTTACAAAATAAATTTATCAATTACTAATTTTCGAATCTAAAAATTGTGACAATTTAGTTTCCTTCTTCGCCTTCGCTAGCACATTCTTATGTTGAGAAAGCCCTATAATTTGCTGTAGTATCAAATCAATGCAATCAGCTGAACAAAGTGTCCATCAAAGATGATGTTGCTTCGCCATTCTCAACTGCCTTCCCCGCATATCTTTCCACCCGTCAGATAATATAGAAATTCGATTTGAGTCCATGTCACCTTAACCTCATTTACAAGTATATGCGCTGTTTTCACTTCTTCATCCAAAATCCAATGACTAAGCTCATATGATGAAGCAGGTTTGAAACCTCTTCACGATTACCAATTAAGTTGACTGCATTGAAAGGAATCACGTTCTAAAAAAATCTACCCACATCTAATGATCCAAGCAATTTTGGTGTTCTCCTTCTTTATCACCAACTAGAGTAGAGTTTTTATTCTCATTGTCAACGTCGATGACAAATCTATCAATAGGGCCTTGGACGCCTCTTTGATAAATTTTCTGGTTAATAATCTTTATGGGACAGTGTTTTTAAAATCGATTGATGCATCTGATCAAGTGAAAGATGCACAAATGTCATGTAAGCTTCTTGATAGTGTTGTGGATGAGGTAGGTGCAGATATTGTTACTCAAGTGGCTCGTGACAATGCATCAAACTACAATGCAGCTGAAATATTACTAATGGTCAAACGACCTCATCTTTAGTTGACGCCTTATGCATCTCATGGCAATGATTTGATATGAGATCAAATTGGAGAGCTTCCTCAACATAAAAATGTGGTAGCGAAGGCGAAGAAGGTAACTAAATTGCCACAATTTTAAAATAATTTTTAAAATAAAAATACTCCCTCCGTATCTTTTTATTTGGCCCATTTACCTTTTTACGTAGTTTAAGGCAATTATATGTAAAGTATGAGGCTTTTGGTACTGTAGCGGTACTGTGGCAGTACTGTAGCGGGATTGTAGCTTCTTTTCGAGTGAGTTTCTTTCCAAAAAGGGAATGATACATTTTTTTATACGTCTCAAAAGGGAAAGTGAGACAAGTAAATAGATACGGAGGAAGTAGTACGTAGCATAGTAGTCAATGGTGAGATATGGCGCGCGCCATATGCGCCATCGCCATGAAAAAATAGTCGTCGCCATAGCGCCATATGCGCCATTCTTATATGCGCCATCGCCATGCGCCATGAAAAATGCCTTTGAGCCATGGCAATCGCCATGCGCCATGACAACTATGGTACGTAGTAATTGATTAACTTATTTATAAACTGACTGCAATAGCAATTGTCACAATTACCTTTAGAAAAAAGTTCTTGCAAATCTGCAATATGTTTTTAGAAGATCAAATAAATAAAAAGTGCTGAAATTTAAATTTTTAAATTTTGAAACTGAAATAATTGTTTCTTCGAAAGTGTAGTTAGTCAGGATACATAAAAAAATCAATTATTTCAATTCCAGAATGCAGTAGCAGTGAAGAAAAAAAGGATGAAAGCAGACAGATGGTTGTAGAAGATAAATGTGCAGAGAAGAAAACAGCCGCCATTTACAAAGTATAAAGTCTACATATATAATGTTATAGTCTCTACTCGCTACGCAAACTTGTACACTATGCCAAATACTGTATGTATTTTTTTTAACAGTTTGGGGGATTTGGGCTGCTGCAGTCGACACTGTTATTTGTGGCACACATAAACACCCACTATATGGCGGACGCAATAAGCGTACACCCTAGCTAAGAAACCACACACATTTGTATTGCCTGAGTTCGTTATGTCTTCCATCCTAAAATCTCCAAGAGTACTAAGGCACGCCTGATTGCATAAAGGCATTGTACAATTTTAAACAATGTGTGAAATTAAGGTGACGTTAAGGGTCCTAACAGCATCTTTATATAGCCAAAGAAGGTTCCAATGTGATTCAAGAGTCAAGACAATGATTGCAACTAGACAAGAGATGGCAGAAGACAGGCACTTACAGTTTCCTCAATAGGCACATTAGTGTCAATGCGATGTATAAAGTAGATATCGATGTAATCAATTTGAAGGCGTTTCAGGCTAGCCTCACAACAGGATCGAACATATTCAGGGGTTCCTTTCACCTCAACCTCAGTAGTAACTTTGCATATACCAAACTTTGTAGATAGTTGCACTTTTTCTCTGGGCATATGCTTCAATGCCTGCAACAACAAATTTAACTAGTTATGTGTAACTCAACCAAAATAAAACTACTGTCTCAAAGTTCCTTTTTCTCTTTCATTTTAAAAGGACACTATATTGTTTGCACATACTATGTACTACTACATCCGTCCGACTATGTTTGGAACAATTTGGTTTACAATGCTTGACCGACGATAAAGCAAACAGATCCTTGTCCGCACTCAAATTCATATTTCATATTTCAATGAGTTGAGGGGTATATCTGCAATTCTTCAAGTTCAGGGGCCTGATTGCAGAATTGCAAATAGTTGGAGGGCTTATTTGACTCTTTTCTCTTAAAAACTTTACAAGGTAGCAACAACCAGAATCAAATTTGATAAAAAAAATTGATATATAAAGTAAGAGATTAAAAGTGATTTGTGTTGACCAAGTGAATAGTGTCTGCGACAATCTTAGCGGGACGGAGGGAGTAAAAAAAGCATTAGTAAAATGTTTTAAACTAGTGATGTCAGGTTTGAACTGTGGTACTAAATGAAAACATAATATTGTATTATGCTCCTTTGTTCTGAAGTAAAAGGCCATTAAGGTAAGACAACATTATGATTTTTAGTGGATTATTAACTCTGGTATTAATTGAAGATCATGCCCAAAAAACAGCTTAGTGATTTTAATATGTTTTACTTTATGATTTTTAAAATGGACATTGGACAATCATTTGTGAACGAAATATCCTTCTCAATGGACAGTAATTTAGGTATTACTGTGTATGATTGATTTAAATATAATTGAATTGACACATGAATTTCGTTCATGTGTATTCATTTAGCTCGAATCAAAGTAACAGACTCAATACAATCGATATTATCGATTAACTAGTTCAACTAAAAATCGATTAACAAAATTAGAAATATGCTCTCTATCATCATTTGATAGAGTTTCAAATGATGATATGTTTCACGAGTCATCATTAATTATCATTTTTGTTCTAAAAAAGCAAAGCAATTTCACCTTCCCAACAAGGTACTCGTTAGAATGATCTGAGCCGTAAATGTCGGAGGTGTCGAAAAAGGTAACCCCTTTATTGAAAGCTTCCCTCAGAATTGCTATCCCTTCTTCCTCCGGAACCGGATCGTTGTACATCCCAGTAAGCCCCATACAACCATACCCCAATCTGGAGACCTGCAGCAAGAAATTCATGCGTGGAATTTTCTATATATAAACACAATTGTGAAGAAACACAAACGAGAAGAGAAAAATAAGATGGAAACCTCGAGTCCTTGGCTCCCCAGCTTCACCCTTGGCATTTCAGCGGACGCCATTTTAGTACGAAATATTGTTCACTTAGGCCGACATCGGAACTAGGAAAATATGTTTGTGAGGTTTTTTGTTGTTGAATCAGATGACAAAATATGTCTATCTAAATATGTCTATCTAAATATATCTAAGGATGTATAGTTGTTGGATTGGTCCATATAAGGTAGGTATTAAAGTGTGTATAAGAAGAAGATCTCTTTGTCTAAAGTTAACACAGTATGGCCAGCACTCGGCAGTACATTTTCGCAAATTGAGTTAAAATAGTTGTATTCCCTAACAATATTTTTAGTGTTTCTAAAAAAACAGTATTTTTAGTGAGCATCAAATATTCAAATCTATCTTATAGAGGAAACTTTTTTGTAGATAGATATTTATTGGTCTGGTCTGTTCTGATTTGGTTTCGTTTGTGTTCGGCTTGAAAATAATTTAAAAGAAAACATCCTTAGTATTGAGTGCAATAATGAATTTCGTGATATTGACTTCATATCTTATAATTCACTTTGTTTTTTCTTATTCCTTGAAATATCTATGATAAACCCGTATGAGTCCAATATGTACATTTAAAGAGAAAAGGGAGAAGCGCATTGAGAAGGAAAGAGATCAAAGATTCCAATTGTTCACAACTCTCGTGGGGAAGTCCTCATTATATCCACAAGAAATGAAGATTTAAAGAAAAAGAGGAGTTCAAGTCTAGTTTCTAAATTGCTTATGTCTACTTTATTTCTATTATGAATCAATGTTTGTTTTGAATAAGGATGTTTTCAAGTTTTCATTTGAACTTTATTTTAATAAAAGGTATTACGGAGTATTTGCTTACATTTTATTTCGTTATACTTATTGTGTACTTTATCAATTTTGAAATTTATTTCACACCTAACATCTCAAACCAATTAAATGTGTACCTAATAAATAAATACATATCTACCAAATAAATACATACCTACCAACTAAATGCATCCACCAACTTAATACTTACCTAGAAAATAAATGCATACCTACTAACATAACTCATACCAACGACATATACCCGTCTAAATCACAACTATTTAATGTGGATACTACATTATAGAAAAACCACACCTCAATTGAACTTCCTGAATGTTTTTGGATCCTCTACCTCCTCCAACTCCTACATCGATGTATTTCAAAGTGAACTTGATGAGTTCGTCAAGTTCAATCAAGATGTTGACGCACGACGTGAAGAGAGACGGGAGGTAGAGAATAGTATAATATCTACTTTACCTCAATTGCTAACACAAACAATTGTGCGTCCAATCCAAAGGCGATGCTACTTGCATAGGGACCATGACGATGCTCAATAACGTCTAATGCATGATTACTTCATCGATATTCCAACATATGGACAACATGAGTTTTGTTGTAAAGTCCGTATGCGTAAGTGTGTCTTTGAGCGAATCATGAATGCTTTGAGTGCACATAATTCGTTCTTTCACCAACAGAGAGATGTTGTTGGTCGATCAAATGGGATTATCTGTGCAACAAAAGTGCACTTGTGCTATACGAATATTGGCGTTTGGAGTTACGACAAATATTTTGGATGAGTATCTCAAAGTGGCAGATACAATTGGAAGAGAATGTCTTCTTCAATTTGTTGAAGGGGTCACAACCATTTTTGGGCCCGAGTACTTCGTAGGTTAAACACCCAAGATGTCACACAACTTTTTGCGGAGGGTGAACGTCAAGGATTCCCATGCATGATGGGTAGCATTGATTGCATGCACTGGGAGTGAAGGAATTGTCCCCGAGCATGGTGAGGTATGTTCCAGAGTAGGAATAAAAAAAACTACCCTTATTTTGGAAGTTGTTGCCTCTCGTGACCTTTGGATTTGGCATGCATTCTTTGGGACACCCGATTCTTGCGATGATATTAATGTTCTTGATAAATCCCCCGTTTTTATGATGTCTTAGGTGGGCACACTCCGCGTGTTCTGTATGTCGTGAATGGTAATGTTTACGATATGGCCGAGATATATTATCTAGCAAATAGTATTTATCCTAAGTAGGACTTAGGATATAATATAAACATATATATCATGAGGGTGTGAGAAAGGACGCGGAACGAGCTTTTGGAGTGTAACCAGCACGATGGGCAACTGTAAAGTACCCATCCCTAGCTTGGGATATACAACTATTGGATAAAGCAATGATAGCTTGCATTGTTAAGCAGAACATGATTGTAGAGGATAATAGAGAACAAGGAATTGAGCATAACAATGATGAAGTTCTGGTGTCTCTTGATAGCTTAACTACTAGTATGTCATCATCAAGCAATACAAGAACGCAACACACTAAGACATAAGTCGCTCAACCATCGATATTACCGACATACATGGACAATAGACACTAGTAGAAAAAGGGCTTATAGTGACACTAATTTAGTGTCACTAAAAATTTCTGTGACACTAAAAAAGCGTCGGGAAAATTGGCGGCCAGTGACACTAAATTTAGTGTCACTGATCGTAAAACATTATAGTGTCAGTAAGTTGTGACACATAAATGTGATACAAGATTATGCACATTGGTATCATTAGACTTTGTGACACATTGGTATCATAAAAATATATGACACATTGATGTCATAGAAATATGATAAAAATATTATAATAATCATTATTTTATTTCTTACTAATTCTATTATACATTATGGAAATATTAGTAAATAATCAAAATAAAAGATCAACATTTGTATTGATTACTCAAATTATTTTACAGTGTTAATATCAATAAAGTATATTACAATATGTCATAAATCTACACTTTAACCATACAACATTTTTATTTGTATACATATACATCATTATTCCTCACGTCACCATCCTCATCTAGCATCCAAAGAAGAAGTCTTTATCAATATCTGGTTCTAACATAGTCTGCATAATTTTTAACTTTGCAATTCTAATAATCAACAAGTACGTCAACATCAAAGAATAAAATTCACAAGAGTCAAAATTTTCAATGTTAGAGTTTATAATGATCATTATGTGAAAACAATGTGTCAAATATGAGAATAGAAAATACTAAGATAAAAAAAAGGATATCTATATTGACTACATATACAGAGGAACATAATGACAAATGTGGAGTACACACTAAATGGCAACTGTAGATTTCACTTTTCAGAAGCAACTATGAACTGAACAAATGCTAATTGAATTCCATTGTAAGTTTGAAACAAATCAAAATACGAAATTTATGTTATTTTATTATTGACTGGATTAACTCTCTGTTAACGATATTCAGATGAGTATTAATCATCAGTACAATTGATGCATGTCATTCTTATACAAGTGCATAATTTCCACTCTCTGGAAGCAAATGTGACATGAAAAACCTTATAGAAGCAAGAGAATAACAATCCTTGCACTACTGGAATTTTTGTTATTTGCTGCTCCCTATTTGCTGCGGTTATAGAAAATCCGCAGCAATATGTTAATATTTTCAACTATTTGTTGCGATTTTGGATATCCGCAGCAAATACTCTTTAATTTTTTTAAGAACTCACATTTTGCTGCGGGCTTAAAGCAATCGCAGCAAATAATCCCCGAAAATTAATTGTATTTGCTGCAATCAACAAATACCGGCCTCAAACAACCCTCAAAAAACACTTTTTGCTATGGGCCTTAGGTAACCACAACAATAATCTTCTAAGAAAGTGATATACCGCCCTGCTCCCAGCCGCATCTGCTCCCACACATCTTCTAATAGTGTTGTCTGTTAGCTAATAGCCGATTGAATTAAAATGTTAGTAACTTAACTGTTTGCGATTAAACGTATTTAAAAGTATATATGTACTTATTTATTTAATAAGTCTTGGAAAAAGTCTAAAAAATAATTTTGTTGTAGATTTAAAAAAAGTAATAAATAGTCATGTGGAGTAGAATTTTAGAGTAGATTTTTAAAAAACTAATAAACAGTCATATTTAAAATATTAATAATAAAAATATATGAATTTATATGTATGTGCTCGTGTTAATGTACATATGTTGAAAATGATACTGTTAGTAGTTATTTATAAAATAAAAGTAAATAATTTTTTTAAAACTTTTTCCAAGACTTATTAAAAATAAAAGAAATGAAATTAAGTTAAATATAAAACTTTTAAATTCATAATTTTAATGATCATTTTACGTCTTAAAACTAATTACAAACAACTTACTTAATAGCAATGTATTTCAAACTGCTAATGAAAGCGATACTAATAGAATTCGCTAGTATCAATCTCTTGATTCAACCTACTATTAGCATCCAGACAACAACTATTATCAAACACGGCCGCTGACATTTTTAATCCTCCACTTTTGATAACAAAATCAAAGTTGAAAGACTAGAAATGTCAATTTCACATTACTTAGAATATGAAATGTTGGGAATTTTAAAACCGAGTAACAAAAGTGTCACACTCACAATAAATTGACCAATTTGTCACAACCGTTACATTTTTTTACCATTTTGTCTCAAATGTTTTTTACCAATCTCGTAAACATCCCTCTTTTTTGTTTACCAAATTGGTAATTTGGCCTATGTTTTTACGATCTAAAAAGGACAGTGTAGATCTTAGTCATCTTACTTACTACCTATCAAGTATAGTGTTGGATTCGGTTTGGGCCACCTGGCCCGGCCCGCTACTGTGCGGGCCCAGGACCGGCCTGGTCTGGCATTCCGGGTCTGGGTGGATACCCGAACCGGGGTTGTAGCGGGTGGCGGGCTCGGTTCTTACAAAAGGTGACCCGGCCCGGCCGGATCGGGCCCGGGTCCAGGTCCACCGGTAGGATTTTAAAAAAACTTTTGGGCTCAAAAGAGCCGTTAGGCTAGGCTGGGACTTCCCAAACGGTTATATAGCCATTATGAGGGTTGTAGGGGGGGGGGGGTCCGGGCCAGTTGAGGGGTGGGGGTAAAAAAAACCTATAAATACTCCTAATATTAAACATTTTTCCACATCTTCTCCAACTCTTCCTAAATCCTCTCTACTCTATAATCATCTATATCTTCTTCATCTTCTCAAATTCTCTTATTCTCCAATATATTTGACACTTTTACTATTTAATACTTATACAAATATTATATCATCTTTATATTAATTACTAGTTTTATGATGCGCGTTGCGCAAAGGAGATAATGCCCAATATTAT